GCCGCCGGCGCCGCCCCCGCCGCCGTGGGCGGCACCTGCCGGGGCGCGGAGCGCGGGGAGGCGCGTGCGAGTCTCTCCGTATAGACATATACGTCCGTATATATAGATGTAGCATCTGCGCCTGGCTGCGTGGGCGTGCCGGTGCCGCTGGGCTTGCCTCCCAGGGAGATGCCGGGGACCCGCGTTAGGTGAAGACGCTCCTAAAACGCTTGGCGTTTCTGTCCGCAAGGTGAGTGGGATCTGCTTTTCCGGACGCTAAATGAATCAGGAGGTCGTACAGGATCTCAGGGGTCTATCAGGAACGCTTTGCTACTTAAGGGCTTGTTACTCTTTCCACAGCATGCCCTTCCTTAGAGAAAATTCCTCAGCTTTTGTTTCTGAAATATATTTTGCTGTAGGGCAGGTAACATTAACACAGAAGTTCACGTGTCAGTGTTAGAATTTGTGACTGAATTGGGTGTTTTAGGACAGCGGCAAATCCTCATAACAGGTAACATTCACAAGTAAAGCTCTAACCTTTGTAAAACTGAGACCAAATCTTTAAGATTTTACTCCGGTATTATCATGATCAATGCTGTCATTTTCCACCCAGGATCTTACAGCATTTTACAAAGGCAGGCAATATCACAGTTTACTATCCAGGGAGAGAAATCAAAGCATGGAAGCCTTAAGTGACTTGTTCAAGGTCATGCAGCAAAGCTGTGAATACAGTTAGTTCCGATGTGGCCTGTGAAAACTGCATTGCCAGAAAGCCTGGCATCCCTCTCTAACACCATGGTTTGCTGCATGCTTATATATGTAGGAGCCGAGGAGGACTAGAGAACTTTGAGGTACAGGGTTTTTTGTTTGTTTTTTAGCAGAAGGGACAAGATATGAGTGGTTAAAGATCTTTAAGCAATGGCAGCTGTTGAGATGCTTCTGGAACTGGATGACCTGGGGAAAAACCAGCTCTGTGCAGGCATTATCATTGAAGAGCTGGGGCTTTAAAATACATTCTGCAAAACCTGATTTGTGAAAGTTAAGGCAAAGGTAGTAAATTTTAGCAATATCAGCTTAAAGAAAAAAAAAAACAGAATAAGAACCTTATATGGGGCTGTGGTAGAAGTGATGTGGGATATTGAGGAATTACCCTTTTCAGCACTGCAATGCCAGTGTGACAGTGATAGAGAGAGCTAGAAAAATAAGGTGTGTTTTGCCTGAGCCACACCAAATGTGTCAGTGGTGTTAGGGCAATCTTTAAAGCTAGAAGGTGGCATCAACTATGACAATTCTTCTTTTTTAAAGGTCCTTTGAAGGAGCGCCTGGCCACTTGCTGCTCCGTCCTGGTGCTCCTCTTCCCTCGGCTTGGGATTGACGTCACGATGACACGGTGAAGCCAAAGACAGGAGCTGGGAACTCTTCTCCTGCCTCACTTTTGATAAGCCGGTGAATTTGTCAGCACCCCGTTGCTCCACCATGGCCAAGAGCGCAGAAGTGAAGCTGGCGATCTTTGGTCGAGCTGGCGTGGGCAAGTCAGGTAGGTTTGCTGGCAGGTCTTCTCCTTCTGCTTGTTATCAGGTAGCTTCTTGCTCCCTCTGTGCAGCACTGCCCAGATAAACTCCTTGTACAGAAGGGTTGCTGGAATCTTATTCCTATCAAAGAGGACAGGATACAGCCAGGAGCTCTCTAATCCTTGTTTTCCACACTATTTTTTTCTCCAGATTCTCTAAAATAAACACTTTTTTTTTCCCCAAGCTATTTATATGATTTTTCCCTACACTTGCAGAATAAGATCTTCTGTTAACTATTGGATTTTCTCCAATAAGTATTGATATTTGTAAGTGTTCAATTTGCGAAATTTTAAACTCAAAAATGCATAAGATTTTTTACCCTCAATGTGCTCTTCGTTTTTTCTATTTACTAGGAAAGTAGGAAAATTTATGATGTGTAAAGCTTGCATTTAGAGAGATCTTCTGAGAAATAAACACAGTCTGGTAAATTCATATAGTGGAAACACAAGGGGGAGGCATAAATGTTTAAAATCCATTTCTATAGGCAGCCTACCAGTCGGTCAGACAAATGAGCTCAGTGGGGATGCAGGCTCGCTCCACTCAGTCTGTGGTGCAGCACAAACTTGACAGCTTGGACACCATCATTAGATGTCCTTGTACCACAAGGATGGTAATAAGGAGGTTCGATCAAATCCACTCCCGTGCCAGCGTGGAGTTGTGAGATACCTTTATTTTAAGGAAGCTTCTGCGACGTAAGCCAGGGGATAGAACTTACTTTGAAGAGGACTAGGCTAGACTCTCAACTGCTGTCAGGCAGTTTAGCTTTCCTGGAATCACTTTTATATTAAAAGTGCCAAGGTTCTGCCTATAAACAGCTGTTATTTTTTTTTAGCAAACTTTGGAACCAGTTATTTATGAAAGTGTGTTTACCTAGGAAGTATCATAGCAGAAACAATCAGTGAAATAGCAATGTGAGCCTTCAGGAAAGAAAAGTATATGAGATGCAGATGCCCTTAGAGATTAGACCACTTATACAGAGACAGTGCTAAGTGAGTTCTACCTTTTATGGCTAAAACACCTGAGGGAATGTTGGTGGCATACTTGTAAAGTGAAAACTGCTGCTTTTTCTTCCTACTGCCTTCTCGCCTCCCGTGCCTCATTCATCTTATTACCTGGCAATGTGTTAATAAATCTACTTCTGTATTTCACCATTCCCTCCAACATGCGCAAACAACTTTAGTGGTTCTCCTTTGGGTTGGTCTCCCATTCTGCCGTTGGTTTCTGTGGTGGTCCAGCCTTTTGGCTGGGTTCAGAGTAATGTATGGGGATGTTGAAACGTCTGCTGTAAAACTGACAAAATGAAAGACTCCCCCTGCCCCAGTATTTCTAAGCACCTGAGACTTTATGTTTTAAAATATAAAACCACCATGTTCAATTAAACTGGCTTGCCAGCAAATAGCAGAGTGGGTCCTTTTTACTTGTTGCATCCTCCCTGTGGATTTCACTACACTAAAAATTTCTTCCTGCAGTCTTGGATCTGGGTAGGAGATCATTTTAAGTAAAAGCCAAGGAGAGCATCCTAGTCCTGCAGGGTCCTTTTCCTTTTATATGGGGCAGAGGGCAAGGGATGCATAGAAATATTGAATAAAATGTCTAAGGTCTCCTCTTTCAGTTAACTGTGACCAAACATGTGAAACAGTGTGGAAACAACAGCTCAAATTAAGAAGGCAGCACAAAAGGCAAATTTAAGGGGGTGGAAGAACTTCCAATTATTATCAGCCACCTCCACAGAACAGCATCCCAGAATTTCCATCTTGCTGTTGAAAATCCTCACATGAACATTCATGTGAAAAGTTCAGTTTCAACAACACAGTTAGTACCAAAGAAATATGGGGCAAACAGGTCAGAAAATATGTAATTGCCTGTAGCCAACAGTAGCAATAATAGAAGTGCTATTTTACATTTGCTAAAAGCAGAGCTGGACACACAGTTATCTTCAGATAAATGGATATTGTGGATAAGTACTACGCTGGGGTAGTGTTGATGGTGGGTTTTTAGCCTGTCCATGTAATTTTCTATCAGTGTAACCAATTTGTCATATGTTTCTGAGATAGGATCCTCTGACCATATATTGCAAGAGTAGGCTTGGCCAGACAGCTAGAAGATAAGCCAGACTCTAGGAGCAAGAATGCAAGGCAGAGTGCTGGAGCAGATGAGATATGTACGAAGAAAAGGACACACTGGGTGATAAATAAGGCCAATGTCATTGCCAGAAAGCCATGCCAAAATATGGTCACTGGCTTGCTTTCTTGGCTCATCATTTGATGAGGAGCTGAGGAGGAGCCAGACATCGGGTTCTTAATCTTTAAGTGGCTTTACCACCTCAAAGCATCTGTGAAGTTACAAACACATACTGTAGTATCCTGGAAAGTGTCCTTTTCCTATTCCTGACCAGTGCTTTGGATCAGTGAATGAAGTGCTGAAGGAAGAAGTGTTGTGCCAGGACAGGACATTTGAAGAATTATAGCTGTCCCCCACACACCATGAAAGTGGAGATTTTACTCCAACTTTTTAACAATTTATTTTTACCATAACTGAGAGCTGATTAAGTACCTGATCTTGTCATTAATGCTAGACATCTGCTTAATTAGGGACAAGACTGCTTGCTATAAGTAGTCCCTTCTGATTAATCCAAAACCAGAGAGGAAAAACCATAACACAGTTCACAGTCAGAATAGCGATAATATCCCAGAGAAGAGCTAAAGCCATGGAAAACAAAACTTTCCTCTACTTTCTAATTGCTTATCAGGTTTCTGTGCTTCAAAAGCTTAGGAACCAAACATGCAGGTACAGCAAATCTGAGTGTCTTTTTTTTTTTTTTTGGCTCATTTCCTTTCTTGCCTCTACCCTGCTTTCCAACTTCCCTTCTCCATTGGAGCGGGCCAACAGTTGACTCGCCTATCCTGTTTTTACCTAGCATAGATCCAAACCTTTCAAATAGAAAAAGAAGAGAGCAAACCAACTCAGAAACACACAGTAAGAGCTGCTTTGAGTGCTTGCTTCAGAATTACACTGTGTAGTAAATCACTGGCCACTTCCACTTTTTCTAGAGCCAGTGCATCTGGTACAAGCTTCCTAACCCTGTCCTGCACAGCAAGCTGGATGCTCCATTTTCCTAGTTGTTAGTGGATAAGCATTGCAGAAACAGTGCTTTAAAACAGCTGAAAAAAAAGCAGATGAGGAGCTATGCTTAAGCCAAGGAGCACTTTGTTGCTTCTTCACTTAGGTGGAGAAAAGAAAAAGAAAAAAAAAAAGAAAAAGGGAGATGTTACGTTGATGGGAAGAGACATTGCTGTGCCTGACTGTGGACAACAGGGCTGCATATACTAATCTTGGAGGAGTGGAGAATTAAAGGACACATTTCTTATACAATGCTGGTTAATTTGCTCTTCAGTTGGAATCCTACAGCTTAATTCCTAAAAGGCAGAATTTCCAAAATAGCTCATTTCAAAAGTACTGTAGTGACCATTAAGATTGAAAGGCTATATTCTGCCATACTCTCACCAGAAATGACATGTGCTCAGAAGCTAAAAATGCATGAATCAAAAGGAGAAAAGAAGGGCATGCACTGGACATCACTGTATGGCTGATGCTTTCCAGCTCGTCAGTGGGATAACTCAGTTAACTATGAATGCTCAGAATACCTCTACTCATGAGGCTTAAAATTTTGGCAAAAAAAAAAAAAAAAAAAAAAAAAGGAATGTCCAGCTGCAGTCTGTGCTATCTGACCTGTTTTTTGCTCTGTATGTGCCAGGCTGTGTATTTCAAGTGTCTTAATTAGCATGTGTGGCTCCTGCAGCCAGGGCAGATGCTGCTGTCCTATGCCTGGAAGGGCTGCAGCCATGGAATGCGACACACAAGCATGTGTGGTTTCTGCTGGTGCTTATGGAGGTGGGAAGGTGCTAAAGCGCCTGTAGCCCCCCTAATAAATACATGCCTGACAGTTAAACGTATTTTCTTATGCCATTACAGGCACAGGGCTGTTGTCACATTTTGATCTAACTCAGTTCCTGAGCTTGGCACGTGGGGTGATCAGTAAAGTGGCACCGGTAGATGCCATCCTGCAAAGATCTTGTCACAGAAGCAAAGCTCTGTGACCAGCTGTGACAGCCACAGTTGTTCTCCCAGCCATCATGCAAGTGCTGAGCAGACACAGATTTCTATCCGCTGGCTTATGCTGCTTTCTCTGGTGAACCCAGGATGGGGGAACTTAACCAGGAGAAAAAAAAAAAGCAAAATCTGTATTTTCTCTTCATTATTTGGAGATATTTCCCAAATAAACTACCAGGGATCACAGGCCTGTCCAAGGGCTGGGAGTGCAGGGAATAGCGCAGAATTCAAACTGTGTTTTCAAACTACATGTTCCTGGGAAAGATGCCCATTGAAAAGTGATTTGCCACCTTGCAAATCCATGATCAGATGTTTTCCGCCCCTAGTTTCATTTCAGGCATTTTAGGGGAGGGCGTATGATTTATTAAGGAGTGATTAAGCTCTCAGCTCTGCTAGTAGGGCAGGGAAAGCTACCACAAGTCCCTGTTGCTCCATCTGATGTTTCTAGGGAGGTTTACTGTAAAAAGGTACCTCTGAAATCCATAAAGTGTGTGGCATCTGCTTTGTTGGTTTGTTTTTCACTGACAGTAGATTGGTGACTTTTAAAAATTATTTTTAAGAACAGTAATGATAGATGAGTAAGCAGTTGTTCGGCGAACAAGTTCCATACCCACTGTATTAATTGTCCTTTATTGTTTGTTTGGTTAAATGCTCATTAGACAGTCCTACTCTTTAAGTTCTCTGGTTTTATCAGTTTACTGTAGGACAGGTTCACTGAAGGTACTGTGAGTCTGCACAAACACACATATACTACTAGGAATGCAAAACAATTAGGCCTCATTGGGTGAGCTTTTCTGACAGTTCCTGCTCCTGCAAACACATCCCTCTGCAGCAGGTAGTATTGCAAGCAACCAGT